GAAGAAAGTGGTGAGCGGAGCCCACATCCCCTTGATTACCACCTCATCAACGCTTTTAAACCACCGGTCGTAGTCCCTGATCACGAGAATGACTTTGGCATCTGGATACGCCTTGACGAGCTGTGGGCCAAACACGGAGGCGACCTCCGTTGCTCCCTCGCGAAATCCATATACTTCGTCCCACTGCTCTCGGCTGAAGGGCTGCCCGGTATATGTCGGCAGGCTAGGAAAAATTGCATCAGCTGCGCGGTTGAAGACACGCCAGGCTTCCTCGCCGTAATCTGTGTCTGTGAGGGTATGGTGAACGTTTTTATAACCCAGTAAGGTGAGCGCCTTAGCCATTGAAAGTGTGCCTGTCCGTGGCAAGCCCAGGGAGAGCACTTTCATCTCACACCAGGCCTTTGGGTCTGTCGAAGTCATGGTTGCTTCCACTTGGTGCTTTTCGTTGATGTGGTTGTATGAAGTAGTTGTTACTCTTCTCAGCGGGAAGCCAATGGTTAGTGAGAGCGATACTGCGTTGTGATATATTTTGCTCCGAAAAAGAAAGGAAAAGAATAGAATCCTTTGAGATAACAAAGGTTAAAATCAGAGTACGGATATATCGACACTCCCTATGCTTATCTTGGGTAAATGTTTACCAAAAAATGTACATAAGATGTCACCGCTACGGCCAGGTCAGGATCAATCATATAAATAATTACTTCATTCTAGGGCCACTTTCTAGAGAGTATTAAGTTATAAGGTGATTAAAGGGGTCTGCCTCCCCCAATTCCGCTTCCGAAGATCTCATCCTTCCTCGTTTCCCTGTCCCATACAACTCTCCCATCACTCTTCCTTTTGAAATATACGATCCGATGCTGCGGAATGAATTCCTCGTCCGTCTGTTCTGACTTCCACCTCGAAAGTGGCAGCTCCTTCACTCCCAGAAACCGATCCTCATAGCCGACGAGGTAATCTCCAAAATCAATCTTTGGGTCCCATCGCAGACGACTAATAACATCCGCGGCAGACCGGAGTTTGTTGGCGCTAACTGGTTTAGATGTTGGTGCCGTGTTCTTTGAGCGCGATTTTGCTTTGTGGGCTGGTTGTTCCTCAAGGAACGCTTTATTCACTGTATCATCCTCATTAGGGTCATCGTCTTCATCCTCGTCGTCAGAGAAATCAGATGCCTCCACATCCGCCCCTCCCTGTTCTCCCCAGCTTCTATGGTCGAGTTTGAGCTCTCCCAACTCAGCCTGTTTGACGTGCGCAGTATCGATCCAGCAGACGGTGGAGTCGAAATATTTGCTCTCCTCGTGCAGACCGGCTGTGAATTGCTCCAGTGTTGTCTGCAGTACCTGTTTTCGCTCCTCTTTATTGGCTGCTGCGCCGGAAGCAGTTTGCAGTCGCTCCAGCCCAACAAGATAACAGCATTGGAATTCTGTTTCATCTATATCTCCGACTGCAGGCGCGTCTTTTGAAGTGAACCGAGCCGGCCAAATGCGGCCGTGAACACCCGGAACATGTTTATCGAGATCTATCCAATATTAGCATTGGGTCAAGACATTATACGCGGCTTCGATGACATACCATTGAGTAGACGGAAAAACCTAGACTCAAGCCAGCCTACTAAAGAGTTGGCTTGGGTCGAAGAAGGCCCCCAGTACTGTACATTGACCTTGATGTAGCTGTTATAGGCCACCAAAAATTTCTCTGCGCCTGTTTGGTTATTATGGCTGATACTTGTATCGCTTAGAACATTAGACCAGGTTGCCCCATCCTCAGCCAGGAGCTGTTCTGCGCGTTTCAGCGCAGAAACGATAGTCCTGAGTGAAGGTGCAGTAACTGCTCTAGCCACGTTGACAATGGGGAGATGAACCGTCAGTATCACCATGGGCTCTCTCAGCGACCGACGATACTTTGATTGTTTCCCCGGGCTATCTACCACCTGATTCTTCCAGTCAAAATTTGCATAATGATGGAAAAACATGGAAACAAGCTCTGGAACCGTGACTCGTCCTACATCTTCATGAAGGAGTTGGTGGAGTCTCGAGAGCATCATGGTGATGTGGATGCCCCCTAGTAGACCAAATTTCGAGGAGTAAACTCCCGATGCTTTGGCCCACAAAGTGATGCAGCGATGAGCGAGGCGAAATATATGCATATCCGGTATCATTCGTTTGAGATATTCTTGATCCCTAAACGGCTGGAGTTTGGTCAAGGAGTAGAATGATAGGTCGAATATTGGGTCCTGGGCTGGCAATTTTGCAGCTTCTTGCCATCTATATTCAATAAAGTAAGCAACAAATTCTACAATTCAAAAAAAGTATACTATAGAAGGAAGAATTACCTTTCAGCAATTTTTGCTGCAGGGCAGTATTGCAAATCAAGCCTGACATTTTTGAACTGTAACTCCAGCATCGTTCCCGTTGCAGCCTTGACCTTTCTCATAATTCGTATTCCCCGGGCAGATGCCCTTTTAAGCCTTTGAATCGCAAGGGAGAAAAAAATGCTTGAGCTTATAGCGCCAATACACAAGCAGTCGATGTCAGAGTTGGGGTTCCAGGTTCCTAAACCATAGGAGCCAACAGGAATCAAAACAAGTGGTGTTTTGATATCTCTGCCGTTGTAATCGTGGATTGGCTCAGTTAATATTTCCGTAAGAGTAGTAACGATGGCTTTTCGTGTGTTGATATCTTCTTCACCAGGCAGCATCGAAGAGGCCTCTAGACTCAACTCTATCCCGTCTGAGGAGGATAAGCTCTTAGGAACATCTCTCAGATGGAGTGGAGCCGGGTTGGAGACAGCTTCAATAGCTTTACTTTCTTTCAAATTGCGGCCAATCTGCATTTTGGCCCTTATTCCCCAGTGGTCGCTGGCAAATTCAGAAATATGTCGTTTTCCGCTTTCAAGGGTATCAGGTAGGCCGAAGAAGTTGAATTCTGTAACCTTGCTTTTACCAGTCTGGCGGACAAAGATCCTATCGTATCTTTGAGGCCTACCATTAACCGAAGACTGGGCTGCAAGGGGGTTCAAGATCGGATCAAACGTGGCTCCATGCTCGCCTTCGCCAAAAGCGTCATCAGTGTCCTGGTTGGCATGAGCCGGCACAGGGGCGTCTCCAAACTCTTCGTGGCTGACAGCCCATCCATCCAAGAACTGAGCCTTGGATAATAGAAAGTTGAGTCCCATTATCTTCTCCACGCTCGCCGATGATATCGTCTTTTGCTTTAAGGACTTATCGATAACCTCTTGTGAAGTGGTGAAGTTGAAATCACCAGCAATGACACTGGGGTTATTAGGATAGTCCTTATCTAACAAATGAAGGATGCTGCGTATCTGTGTCATTTTGCTGTCAACCGTGGCATCGGTCAACCCCGAGCTAAGATGAACAGCAGCGATCACAGTGGGCAGAGAAGAAGCTAAATCACCGATTCCATCCATTTTCAAAATGGCTGCCCCCTTGTGACGCGCTCCAAAGGGCAGCCAGGCCCAAGAGAACTTCCACTGAGAGAAGACAACGATGTTTCTGAGACTCGGGAGGGGGGGTATCCCTTCCTGGCCTGGAGGTCCATGAGTAACAAATGGGTATCGTCGACGAACGTCGTCTCGAGAAAGCAGAAACACTAGGAAATCATCGCAAACTTCCTGGAGAACCAGTACATCTGCCAGCGCGTTTGCGGAGAGAATATGCTTGACCAGGGTGTCGTATCGGTCTCGGGGTGGTGGGTGTGTAGACTCCGCCAGAACATTATAAGTAGAGACAGCGAGATTGCTACTTCGTACATCCGTTGCCTCCTCCGTAGTAGGATTCCAGGAATGGAGATCCGGTGAGAATTCGTAAGTAGACATCGGCTCCGTGAGTGGTACACTGTGGCTCGCTTCGTCAATTGCCGTTTCAAGCCCATGTAGCGACATTCCACTATACGTTAGGGAAAGTTCTTCGGAGTTCGACATGTTATTCCCTGACAGGTCGATTGCGTCCCATACCACCATCCTGCTTGCTCCATCCGGGCCGAGGATCCTTTCACGATGAAGAATCACCAGATGCCCAAGCTCCCAGTCAAGAGCAGGTAGCTTGTTGGCCTTGTCGAGCAAGAAGTCGCGCAAGTCATCGTCCGGCTTTGTCTGGCCAACGGTAAGATGTGGGCAGTAATCACGCCCTTCTTCGCCATGCTGCGCGAGGGACTCGAGAATAGCAGTCCTAAGCTGGCCGAGTCGGTCCTTTGCTTCGTCCTGCAGGGTGAGGTGGACGGTGTGATTGCCTCCACGGTTGCGAAAGTAGCCTGCTGGTCCTGTTCGCAGATGAATGTTGCCGCGCTCCGAGGACTGGCTGAGAGCAGCGAGCCTCTCTTGGATCAGCTTAGAAGCGACTGACAACCGGTCTGCTGGCACAAAGGGGTAAAGGAGGTTGATATGAGCTGGCCATTTCCCGTATGCCTGATCGTACAGGGCCCTGAGACGGTCGACATCCTGCCACAGACGTCGAGGCGGGATAACACAAAGTGCGGTCTGGTATGATAAAAGAGACAACTTTGAATGTGGAGATTATTCCAGGTTCGCCATGATAGGATTTCTTCTCGTCTATTTTCAGGAAACGAAGATGAATGAAAGATGTTTATCGCTTTCACGACCTTCTGACGAGACTTCACTATAGTTAAATAGTGACAGCCTCGTCGACCAAAGCCTTCGATTTCGGCTTCGAGCTATCCACCACTGAGTCAGATGTTGTCTATCGCCAACTATCCATCAACTGTGAATACGCAGCAGAGTGACTCTTATGCTGTTAGCCTGGGAAATCAGCTTGTTGATGCGTGTTGATGCTTGTTGATGCTCGTATAGCAAGAGTCATGGCAGTTTCACGCTGAAGGAGAATGAGTCAGGCACCACCAACCACGAAACAAGGCAACTTCGACATCGGCAAGTTCGTCTACGGAGTACTCTATCCTTAATGACTCTGTAGATGAAATAGAAAAAAAAAATAAAAAAATAAAAAAAAAGAAGAAAAGAAAAAAAGAAAGGGGCCTCGCCGTGGATCGAACACGGGGCCTCTCGCATGTTTGGAAGAACCCAAAGCGAGAATCATACCACTAGACCACAAGGCCGGTCTTTGATATTTGAGGTCGACCTCCTTTCGCACTTTGTATAGGGAGAAAACACCCAAAGGAAGGACAAAACGTCGTCAACAGCGTCTGTTTTCATCTACTCCGCAACATTCTCGTCAATAAGACAGGACGCAATGAGCGACGACGACGACACGGGCCGGAGGCATTTCGAGCCCTTCGCGAAACCGTACTACAGCGACATCGCTCGCCATCTCCCTGGTGCCCTAGTCACATACAACAACGAGAAGCAGTTCTTCCAGCTCCAGGGCTCATCATTGGCGGAACCCAGAGTCCCCAGGCTCGATAAAGGCTCTCTGGTCGCATACTTGGGTGTATCAGCCCGCCCTAACGTTGAACCTGCAACATATGCACTTTACTTTGGTCCCGGTTCTCCCTATAATGCTTCAGGCGCACTTGAGGCACTGCATCCCGATACTCTCTACTTCGAGGCGCTCAACAGATCCATCGACCTTATTGAAGAAATGGCCGACAAGGATATACACATCTCCAAAGTTATGATTGCCACAAATTTTCGATCTCTTGTAATGGATGTTGCCTACGCTGATGACGATGACGATGACGACGAGCTCTCCGAGAATCTGGCAAAGACAATTGCTAGACGGTTGGACAGCCTTGAGTATGGGGACGATAGCGGAGTGTGCTATAACCTCTGGATCGTTGAGGATGATGAAAACAAAGTCGCGAATGATATGGCTGCAAAGGTTTAAAGCTTGATATATCTAGCAGCGCCTTTATATGTCCCCAGTTTATATGCCTATGGAGCACTACTCTTGATACCATTCTTCAAAAAATAGTACGAAGTACAATTTACTCCTGCTGGACATGCTCAAGCCCTTCACATTCTTCCATAGAGAATTTTATCTCCAGGCCGTGAGAGGAGAAATGGTAGCCCAAAAACGGGTTAATCATAAGTATTAAGCCACCAGTTGGTTGTACACACATCACGATATGAAGTAAAGGAAGAAAATGTAAAGCTGGCCACCTATTTTACATCCTCTTGGTTTTTTGGCTGTATATTTCTCGCTGATCAACAGTGGCATATAAACAGGTGTAATCTATCTGGCTAGCACTATTGATCAGCAGGAAATGGGTAACCCGTGAACTTCTGTGATGAAGTGAAGGCTCCCCGGTAACAGAACGCATGACCTATGATAAGAAGCTAGCTTGCTGTGAAACAATTCCCGTGAGTTGTGCTCTTCCTGTCTATATCCACCCGTTACATATGCAAGAAGCGTCTACCTAGCGTTAGGTAATACTGGGATTTAAAATATGAAGAACAAGCTTTGCATTAAAGGCTTTGAGGGCATGGCCATCGATTTAGGAGGCATGCTTGTCAAGGACACTGGTCGAGGACCTAGTCATGTATAACCATCAAGGGCACTTCTCCCAGCTCCATTACTTAGACTATCTGTTATTAAGGCCTTCATAGTGGAATTTCTAGTTTCATGGCCCTTTCTGTTTCCCCGTCAAATGGTAGATTTATAACAGTTAGATATAACGAGCGTATATGTAAATATGCATTAGACATAAAATTCATAATTAGGCTGGATGTATTGAAAACATAAAACATGGTATAGGGGGCACGCAAATATCAACCACTCTATAAATGACGACCGCAAAAGAAAACGAGGGGGGGCTAATAGGCCAACATGTTCGCCTTACATGGTAGAAAACATCGCTGCCACTACCATCAGTACGAATAATGATATCCAGCCACTTCCCATGCTGACTCGACCAGCGGCTGACTGCTTGCGGTCTTCGGGAAGAGCCGTGCCTGTCGAGTCGGCCGCCTCGGTAGACAAAACCTGACTTGGAGGGCCATAGGAGTTCATACTCTTATCAAAAGCTAAACAAGCCGTCGGTAGGCTGTATTCTGTAGCTGTAGCGGTAGTTTCCTGATGTCGAACAAAACTGTAGTTGGGTAGATCAATCTGCAATTCAACAAAGGGAACAATGCTGAAATCAAGTTTCGGTACAACGTTGGTGAAGTTGCCAATAAGACTGTCGAAGAAACCGTCGACTTCCTTGTTTTTATCTTCTTCGGTCCCGGGGGCTTGCGCGACCTTTTCACATTTTTCATCAACTCCGTCCAGTTGGCTGACTTTCACTGATGCTTTTGGGACATTGAAGGTTACACCAGCTCCGCCACTAATGGCTCCTGATCGCGAAGCGACTCCGAAGAGTATTTCAGGGGAGAAACCGATGGAGAATGTAAGATCTGTGATACCGTGGGAGGACTGGAAGGGTACCTCAGTAAATGTAGTAGATTCACTGATTGTCGGTTTAATATGACAGTTAGCCGGCGTTATCGGATAGAAGTTGCCAGAATTCCTACTTACAATCCCTTTAGTGTTGAATTTCCAACACTGTTGATATTGATGTTGAAACTCGAGTCTTTTGGGACCTGAAACAAAGGGGTGTTAGGGTCTCTGATATCACGTAGGATATAGGAGAGCAGCGGCATACCGATATGTCGACACCATATGAAAAGTTCATAGGTTGACTCAATTGTACCGATACCGATACCTGTGGGGTGAAAATAGCTCCGAATTGAACCACACCAGGAATCTGTAATTCATTAACACGGGAAAAATTCATATTATCCACTTCAACAGCAGACGTGGTATTCGGAAACGAAAAACTTACTGCAAAGGGAGTAAGAGGGATGGAAGGCATAGGCACTGAAAAGTTAAGTAAATCCAAGCCCGCGTCGAGAGCCAATTCAAGCTCAATGCGAGAAAATAACCCGCTAACGTCCAGTGCCACTTCGCCATGATCGATGAATGCGGCGGCAGCTTCTAGCCCGTGTTCTTCCTCGTCTGGGCCTCTAAGCGTGAATGAACCCGTTGAAAGTTCCACGCCTCCTTTAACGGTGCAATCCTTGCAAGATAAGGTGATACCTTCGGGCCTTTTATACACATTAGTCCCACCTGGATGACTCCATACTACTCTATGGGATTGGAGATACTTACAGTCCCAACAGGCTGACACCTGGTAGCTCTGGCGGAACTAGCTTCTTGTCTTTATGGCTGACATTGATCCTGCTGGGGGCGTTTTCGGAAAGCCCAGCTCCGCTCGTGGGCGCGGCGGGGAATTGCATTGCAGTTGTCATTGTAGATGGAGAAGCGGTAGGTATCTCGTTTTTACGTCTGATGGAGTTGGGCTTTTGACTGCGCCTGACGATACTACCCTGTCTCTTGCGAGAGAAGGAAACGTCGATAGTGTGGAATGCATCCTCCCATAGAGTATCTGTTCGGGATAGCAAAATGCAGGAGTTCTCCTTATCCACAGTAACCTTGGTGACCCTTTACCGGTGTTAGCGTATATCTTATCTATTCTGGAATCCATCACTCACATATGTGGTGCTCGCTGCTCATCCTCATTACATTCAAAGTGCGAGGATACGGCAACAAACTCCGTAGCATTCATCAGCTCCCTACTAGCCTCCTCCATGAAGTCAAGGTTGACGAAGGAGAGTTTGATTTCCGACTCAGAGCAAGTAACATCGTGAATGCCTACCTCCAAATCTTCTAGCAGAAGGATTGGATGTTGGCTTCTCACGTTAAGGGTTGTTACGAAGACCGGTTCGTCTGAGCGTGTGGTAAGATGGCCGGTATGGTCAACGAAATCAAGGCTTGCGTCTTTCTGTAGTATCCTGGATCCTGGGTGGCGTTTCCTGAGACCGCCCTGGGGATATGCTGGGGATAGATGCCTTGCTTGAATGGAATCCCATGACTTCGAGATATCTCTTCGAGCGATTTGTTTGTATGCAGCCGATGTAGAAGGGTAGCAGAGTGTAGACAGTGCTAATAGGGAGAGGGTAAATAGCTTCATAGTGGGTAGGGTATTGAATTGCTATACCCGCGAGAGATAGGATGTACTCGATGCGCTGGTTAGAATATACGACCAGTTTCAGCGGATAAAGGGTCGTTCTTATAATCATCATCTCATCGCGCATAATCCATCTTCCTCTTCTCGATACCATGCTACCCTACCTAGTCGATGTATAAGCCAAGTAAGGACTTCTAAGCCCCCCCGCACCGTATATCAGTCAAGGGGTCAACAGGTGATAATGTTGGATGTAGCCCGCGGATTACCAATTTGGGTATGCAAGCCCATGTTTGGCCCCATCGCACGGCCAGGCTCCTGGTAGCTTCTGCCGCCAGGGTACATAGCGAGGCTATGCACTCCGTGCTGTAGTAATGCAGGAAATGATCGAAGGCATCCTGGGACAGGCAGCAGAGACCCAAACTGTCTGTGAGCCAGGAGGGTTCCTATTAACGCGGACAGTGCTTTATGCGTCAAGCGAGCCCTGTACCATGCCTATGGCAAGGGATCAATCGCCAACAACATGACACAGCCTCGGAGGAACTGCATCTGAGACGCTTGATGCTGGAGAGCCCTGGAGCCAACATGTAACATTAGTAACTGGTCAAATCAACGTTGCACTTCAAGCTGCTTAGTGTTGATCCCGCAGCGGCTGGCGCAAGGTTCGGCATACCCGCATGCTTATACGGGAAGTTAACCATGATAGCGGAGGTTTGATTGGACAGCTGGTATTTATAACAACACGGTTAGATATACCTTGAGCATGCTTTGCATAGAGGTCCGGAGTAATTGTGACGCTGAGTTTTCGAGGGGAAGATGGAGATGCAACCTGGCAAGGGTCCACGATGTGGGATGTTCCGTGTCCATATAAACGCTTCTATTAGACCAAGCAGCCGACATACATTAGTTGCAATATCAAAACGTTGGTTGCTTTCCATTGTTCCCTCGGGGATGGCCAGCGAAGAAGGCTAGCTAGGATTGCTCTGTTAGCTCACATCATGAATCCGGGACAACAAACACCGATTCAGCAGGAGAAAAGGGCGAGGAATAGGAAGAATATTTATACTCAACTATTATTAAGTGTTGGATATTGAACATGCAGGGTTAAACAAGCAGACAAAGACAATCTTCTTCCCCAATGCTCAGCAAGA